TTGCAAAAAGAATTACAAGCGTACCCACTTTTCGCGTAACTTCAACATACGGGGTTGAAGTAGCAAAGTCAATCATGCAAAACTTCAGCATTCTAGTAAACGGGACTGAAGTAACAAGTGTGCTAAAGTTTTTATTTGTTATTGCTGAAGTTTTTATTTTTGTAACTAGCGAACTTCAGCTCTAGAGCTGAAGTTTTTGTTTTGTAACTGGCGAACTTCAGCTCTAGAGCTGAAGTTTTTGTTTTGTAACTGGCGAACTTCAGCTCCTGAGCTGAAGTTTTTGTTTTTCTTACTGGCGAACTTCAGCTCTAGAGCTGAAGTCTTTTTTTTTTGTAACTGGCGAACTTCAGCTCTAGAGCTGAAGTTTTTGTTTTTGTAACTGGCTAACTTCAGCTCTAGAGCTGAAGTTTTTGTTTCGTAACTGGTGAACTTTAGCTCTAGAGTTGAAGTTTTTGTTTGTAACTGGCGAACTTCACCTCTAGAGCTGAAGTTTTTGTTTGTAACTGGTGAACTTCAGCTCTAGAGTCTTCTTCCCTTCATAATGATACTGTCACGAAAATATGAAAATAGCTGCTTTACTGTCACATAAAGCATTCAGTAGCAAGGATACCTCATCTTATAATTCTCTAATCGGACCAATTATTTAGATGATTAGTTCAACAACTAAACCATCCAAAGGAACTGTTAATCGATATTTGATAAAGCAAGAAACTTTTTAACAATTTACATAAACCAATATGTTGCTGCTAATTCCATGCATTATCAAATAGGATCTGTAGCTTCGTCATTTAACAGAATATCTATTGCCACCATTCAATCAAGCAAGGACTTTTAGTCACGGACTTCAGAAAGAGGTTGAGGGCGGATATAACTTTGAGGAGGAGAAGAAGGAGGAGAAAGGGGGTTAAAGTTGTTTAAAAAGTGGGTAAAAGTTAAAAAAAAAATTAAAAATAGGTATAGGCTAAATAAAGGCGACCAAATAAGGCACCCCGTGTAATTTTTACGTGATGTAGTCTTCAAAGTTTTGGCCAATTGTAAATAAAACTTGAAGTTATCGGGATTTAACTCGGAAGCCCATTCGCTGACTTGCTGAAGGTCACAATATGGCCTTTAAATAAGCATCAGCCTACCTTGCTTTAGGCGTTTAAATACAAAATAACAAATTGAGATGTCACCCAATTAATTTGCTTTCCATCCTCCCCGCCAGAAATTCAAAATACCGGTCTACTTATAAAATACGTTAATTTAGAATAAAGCTTTGATGCATCATTGGTTGAAGCAAGTTTTTAAAATAAGCTTAATCTTTGCACATTTATACACAAGTGATTTGTCATAAATTTTTGAGACTGTCACATAATCCCAAATTGTCCTTGTGAAAATAATTCATGAACCTCATAATTTGCTTTAGGCGCGTTTAAATAAATCATTGTGATTATGGGTATGGTTCCCATGGCATAGTCATGAAACGTAACTTCAATTCCAGTGTGCATTCACTCGACTTGACCACAACTTCAAGTAATTAAAATAAACATGTTATGAATCACGGGTACGTTTCACGTGGCGTGATTTGCGATGTGTACAAAAACAACAAGTGTACGACACCGTAACTTGTTTAAATAAGTTTCATAATTGTTTAAAATAATCAAAAGCGGTAAAAGATAAAATGCACAATCGGTTTTAAACATGTATTAATTCAGATAATTAAGCTAATTATTAATTGTTGAGCAATCGTACTAAAATCACGGAACTCATGAGTGCCTCACACCTTCTCCTGGGTTAATAGAATTTCTTACCCGGTCTTCTGTGTTCGTGGATCATAAATATAGTATTTGGAATTTTAAAATAAAACGGTGACTTGGGACACCATAATAATTATTCTAAGTGGCGTCTCTAATTAAATAAATAATACTATTTCGAATAATGTCACTTTAATTGGAAAAATGCCCTATTCTTCGAAAAAAGGAAGTGTGACAACAACTTCAAGCCTTCTCCTCCTCCTCATCCTCCTCCTCCTCCTCCTCCTCCTCCTTTTCTTCTTCTTCTTCTTCTTCTTCTTCTTCTTCTTCTTCTTCTTCTTCTTCTTCTTCTTCTTCTTCAGGTATTTGTGATTTTATATGATGTTTGTGAACATATTTTCAGGTGGTTTATAATATTTTACAGCGATGAGCTATTGTGGTGCTTTATTTCTTACTATTGCTTAGGGTTTCTTCTTTCTTTTTTTTCTTAATTGCAAAATGGGTTCATTTGATTTATTAGTATTTTGACAAATTGATTATTGGAGTTTGTTCTTGATGATATTTGGAAGTTATGCTTCAAATTTGAGCTCATTTGGAGTAGATTTAGGCATTAAATCGTATATTGAATTGTTAAAATTCGAAGAACAAATTTCTGTTTCTGGGCAATTTGCACTTCAGGCCTATTTGTCCTTAAGTGCATGAAAATGTTGGTTGTACTTTAGACCTTTTGGCCTTAAGTACATCTGAAGTGTAATTTTTTACTTCAGAATTATTGGCCTTAAGTGTAGGAAAACGTTTGTTGCAACTTTAGACCTTTTGTCCTTAAATGCATATGACGTGCAATTTTTCACTTCAGACTTGTTGGCCTTAGGTGTATGAAACAATTGATTGTACTTCAGACTTATTTGGTCTTGATTGCATCTGAAGTGCAATTTTTCACTTCAGACTTATTGGCCTTAAGTTTAGGAAAATGTTTGTTGCACTTCAGACCTTTTGGCCTTAAGTGCATCTAAAGTGCAAATTTTTACTTCAGACTTATTGGCCTTAATTGCATGAAACCATTTCTTGCATTTCAGAACTATTTGGCCCTAAGTGCATCTGAAGTGCAACTTTTTCACTTCAAACTAATTTTTTTTAAACTTCAAACCCGATAAGTCTGAAGTTGATCGTAAAGTGGGTAAGCTTGCAAATTATTTTGTAAAATGGGTATAGGTTCAATTGTGACTCCAAAACCGGGTATAGATACAAAAGCCCCAAATATGGGGCTGTTTGTATAATTTTTGGCCGATGGAAAAATTATGGGACTATAAAAGGAGGAATTACGAGAATTTTTACACATCTTTGACCATTTCTCCAAACTTTGGGAGCAAGGGATCAACACCAATACCATTGAGAGTGAAGATTTTGATGCACTTTATTGAGATTTTCTTATCCTTCTTAATTTCTATCTTCAATTCTTAACTTTGTATTAAATTGAGTATAGTGTTATTTTCAGTTGACGATATTGTTTTAGGGATACTTTAATATTAGGGTTTGATTTTATTGTCTTGTTACTCACACTACAAGAAAAACAACCTTTAAGGAAGGGAAATTTGGTCCCTAAAAGACCAAATCTAGTCCCCAAAGGAGAAATAACGACGGGCAAAACCTGGTCGCAACACGTCTTAATAGCTTTCGCAGCTAAATGTCAACAACGACGAGTCTAAAAACTTGGTCGTTAATTGATTTAGAGATGGGCAAAAATTTTGGTTGTAGAATACTTTTAGAGACTACCCATCTAGTCCCTAAAAGACGATGAAAAATATACATATTCCCGTCGGCTAGACCTTTTTGGTGACCAACCTCCAATTGGTCCTAGATTATCTTTTAAAGATGGCCAAAAAATCTGGTCGCAAAATACTTTTAGAGATGGCAGAAAATCTGGTCGTGAAAAATAAATATATTTCAATCGTTAAACTATTTTAGCGACCAACCTTTAACTGGTCGTCCCAGATTATCTTTTAGAGACGAGGTCCCTAATTAAATTAAAATAATTGATGTAATTTAGCGACCGTATTTTTGGTATCTTATTAACCATGAGTAGTTCTAAAGATCCATGCCACCAAAAGTTGTTTTTATCAATAAATACCAAATTATTATTGATAAATTTAGATATAAAAATATAATATATCAAAGTAACATCCCATGATGATATTAATTAGTTTCAATATTTGCTCAACACCTTAACAGAAAAAACTTAGCTAACATCCTCAGCTAGACTATGATATCAAGTTTTGCATAACAGTCCTGGCAAAATAATAATGAGTTTGTGCATCTTCTAAACTTGCAGCTTGACTTGTAGCTTCAATCTTCAAAATCTGTAAGTACAAAAGTTTGAAAAAATGATAAATAACTATTGATAAAATAATATATGTAAATTTAAAACTAGCAATGGTTAAACCGTTTACCCCAAAAGTAGTCTAAATTCAGCAGGTGTTATCCTGCAACATCAACAAGACTACATAAATATAAGTAAAATTAATTAAAAAAACTTTGGGATGGTAAATCAAATTTTGGTTCGATAAATTCCTGTACGGAAATTCGACATTTACATATTCTCTTGTTTTCTTACTTGGGAGAATGACATTGATCAGTTTATTCGCTTTCTTAGATTCGATTTATCTTTCTTAGGTTTTAGTTCATATCATGTTTTATAAAGGGTTTTGCTTAGTTAATTAATTAAATTGGTGATAATTCCTCACTTTCTTGATCGCTCTTATATTATTCTCATTGAAATTCGACTAGGACTCGAGTAAATTATATTGCATAAAATCATATCATATCTCATTTAGAGGTGTATGTTGTTGACGTGATCGTACACAGCTAGTTTTACATCAATTTATATCATAATTTAGAAGCACCAAAAAAAATTTTAAAACAAGAAAATTCCTAACATTTCCTCAAATTAAAGGCAGTTTGGTGCCCTAAACTCCTGCTATGCGAGGTTTGGGGAAGGGCCAGAAAGGTCTATTATACGCATCCTTACCCTATATTTTTGCAAGAGGTTGTTTTCATGGCTCGAATACGTGACATCCTTGTCACATGGCAATAAGTTATTACCAAGGCTCCCATTCTAACATTTCCTCTAATTATTTTTCTTATATGTATGATCCTATCTTGACACCATCTTTACTTCAAATGATCTTCTCTTCCTCTCCCTTTATATAACTACCCATAAGCATTTTTCAAATAAGCACAACACAAAAAAAACTCATGAGTACTAAAATGGCCACAAATCCTCCTCTTTCAGATGAAGAAGATTACATAGACATTGAAGTGAACTCTTATTACTCTTACTTTTCTTGTCCTTCTACTATCTCTTCCCCTCAAAATAGAGAATTTGAGTTTCAATTGGCTTCCATTATAAATGACAAAAAAACCACAACTTCTCCTGCTGATGAAGTTTTCTTCAAAGGCAAACTCCTTCCTCTTCACCAAAAAATACTTCCACCATATTCCTTTAAAGAAGATGAAGAAGAAAGCTTTTGCATAAACTTCTTAATCACTAGCACTAACAACAGTCCAATTAGGTCAAGCAATATTTCTTGTAGGGTGAGTTTTGAACTGAATCCAAATGAGTGGTTCAGTACCGAACTCACCACTAGTTCAATAAATGATAACAATAATAGTCCTAAGAAATTGTGGTCTAAGAAGTTCAAGCTAATGAGTCAAAAGATCAAAGCTTCAAGGGAATTTCTCAAGTCTTTGTTTAGCAAATATTCTTGCAAGAAAACCCCATTAAAAAATAATGGAATATTATGTGGTGCAAGTCCAACACTAGCTAGTACAATAAAGAACATTAATAGAGCTGATGAGGATAATAATGTCAACAATAATTATAGTTCAAGGTCCTTTTCAGCTGCAGCAGAAATCAAATGGAATTCTCCAACAAAAAGTTTGTCTTCCTCATGTGGTGGTTCTACTTCTTTCTCATCATCTTATTGTTCCTTCAACTCTAATAATGATGACTTGAGTTTACTCAAGAGAAGCAACAGTTTCACTTCACAGATGGGTTCAATTGAGGCTGCTATTGCTTATTGTAAAAAGTCCTAAGAGCTTTATTACAATTCCAACAAAACAAATTGAGTGAAGATGGCTTAGGACATTGACGATTCCCAAGATTGCAGTTGATCATAGTCAAGAAATTAAAGACATGGTCTTTGCAGTTTTTGAACCATTTTTTTGGTGGGGAGCTTTGGCGTAACAGGTATTTGGCGTAATATAGTATAAGCTTGTCCAACTGTGAGACCAACTAATCAAACAGAGACAAAAGCCAGTCATAGTAATCCGTAAATCCCGTATAGAAGGGCTTTCGCTCAACAGAAAAGTAATCATTTTCCTACTTCAAAAATCTCCATGCAACAGTAGCTTGAGTAGATTATTTTAACTTAGAATTATTGGACAGCGCAATGACAAAGGAAAGAAAAGAAAACAAGCATTAAATTAAGAGGAAAATTTTGAAAAGGTACGTTTATATCAAATGGCGAGAAGTTTTATTTTGTGTCTCATACAACTTACACTAGTTGTATAAGGCTCATGTTTGTCTTACAAATTTGTGGACCCCAATCTTACACTTCTGGGTCCACAAAACTGTGAGACAAAAAAGTTGCCTCATAAAACTAGTGTAAGTTGTAGGAGATACAGAATAAAATTTTCCATCAAATGGCCAATGGCAATATCCCTTCACTAACTAAGAAAAGGGGAGTCTAAAACTGAAATAATGTCATTTTTGGCACAAAATACGTTTTTACTGTTAAAAAAAAGTTACATTTCTACATAGAACACAGTATAATACTGCGTTTTATTAAAAAATTAATTTTTTATAGGAAAACACATTGTAATACTGTGTTTTCCTTAAATGCAGTAGTGTACTGCATTTCCCTATAAAATTTGGGCCCACCTTAATAAACTTCCACAGAATATAGTGTAAAACGTATTATAATACTGCGTTTTACACTGAAACGTATTATTATACTGCGTTTTACACTAATTTTTGGGCTCACCAATAAGTGTTCTGCGGATAACTGACATAACAATAATTCAAATACATAAAACGTGGTATTATACTGCGTTTTAAATAAAAAAAATTTGCACCCCAAGCTCGGACTTGCCTTATTTAAAGGCGTTTGAATTTTATGAAAATCCATTCAAAACTTTCCTTCAAACTTCCGTTCATACTTCTCTCTTCTTCTTATCAATCATTTTTTTATAACGTCTGAAGAGCCAAAAATAAGGGTTTCATTATTTGGGGGGTGAGGTTGTGCTGGAGAATAACTCTGTGAGGTATAGCTCACCTCCACAGTGTAATGTTAAATTGCCACTTACAATGGTGTACGATAAATTGGTATTGTTGTTACGTAAAAAAATGAGTGTGAGGAAACGTTCGGTTAACCTTAAAGTAACCGGTAGATTTCCGTAGTCAGTGACTCCGTAGGGGTTTGCTTATTATTCTGAGTTTAACATCGAAGATGATGAAACTCTTAGAGATTTTTTGCGGATTCCGAATGAATGCAGGAAATTTATTGTAATAAAATTATTGGAAATATACATCAAGGTTGAAGACGTTCCCAATAATAAGGGCGTGCATAGTAGGGATAACCCCCAGTCATCAGGTGGTTATTCTGGAGCAGTTTTTGCCAGACAGTTTGCTGATGAAAATGCTTGCCTTGATTTAAATTTGTCACCACTGGTGAATGAGCAGCCAAAAAATTGGAATATGCGTAGTTTTGGCATATTAGACCTCGGTGGTCCATCCGGGAGTCATCACCAACAAGAAAATATACATCATGAAACGTCAAGACAATAAGACTTGTTAGTAAAGTGATATAGCTATATGTAAAGAGTTGGGTAGCTTATCATTTTGTTCTTTTTGTGCAGTGAAAACGAGCATCTTGATGTTACTGACCTCACACAGCTGCCCATAGACGACGTACTGACTCGTGATTTGGCAGATGCGCAGAGTCAAGAAGATGATAGTGATTATGACAGCAATGCGGATGAATCTGGAGATGACACACCCTTCCTTGATGAGGGTGATGACGAGGAGGAAGTAGATGCCGAACCTTCCCTGATGACGGAGCATGCTCCTCCACCTCCCGCTAGACCAAGAGTGTACGAGTCCCACGTGCCATTTCATGAGCGGAATATTCCCTATCTTGATAATTTGCCAAGTATGCCGGACGTGGATGCCCTCACAAGGGATGATGACGAAATTCAGTCAGTGATGTGGGATGAGTCTAGACCAGCGGTGCTGGCAAAGGGCATGTATTTCCCCGATAAAGCTCGTCTAATTAGGGCTGTAAAAATCTACAGTGTAAGAGAGTGCCGTGAGATGACGGTAAGTGAGTCAACTACGGAGGTATACAAGGCTGTATGCCGTAGAGACTTTACGGGTTGTCACTGGATGTTGCGTGCCAGCAAGAAGAAATCAGGTTTGTCAAAAGTGTGTAAATTTATTAGCACCCACAGATGTGAAATGGACACATTCAATGAGAATCACTTCAACCTGGATGTGGACTTGATTTCTCTAGTATTGATTTTATATTTGGAAGTATCCATTAAGTTCAAGATTAAAGAGTGTATTACAGCCGTCCACCGGTAGTATGGTTGTACTATAACCAAAAGAAAGGCATATCTCGATCGCAAACGTGCCTTTGAACTTATTTATGGCGACTGGGATAAGTCTTTTTCATCTCTGCCCAAGTACATGTATTAATTTGTTAGTTTTTTAAGTTTATTTTTATAAATTAAATAATTAATTTTGTAAAGTGTAATTGGATAGAGTTTGTAGTTAGTACATACTTAAACTTACAGAGACTCTACGCTAAAAGGTTCTACATTTTATTACACTAAAAGGCTCTATATTTTACTACGCTAAAAGACTCTGTATTTTACTACGCTATAAGGCTCTATATTTTACTACGCTAAAAAACTCTATATTTTACTACGCTAAAAGGCCACTATTACGTATAAAAACAACAAACATAACATACATATGAACAACAAACTAAATAAATAATAATAATTTATTATTCAAGCAAATAAAAACATAGCATTAACAATAAAAATTATTTATCATGTTTTAACTATTTTTTGTCCCAAGGCTAATAATTCAATTCGGGTAAAAATAACATACAAATTTAAACGCAAACATAACACAAATCAACGTGGAAACACATTCAACAAAACAAATATGCATATGCTCTACGAGTTTCGACATAAACAAAATCGAAATACCTCGATTTAAGTTTTTTGAAATAGATCCAAATCGAATTTTTGGCCCCGAAAAAAAGAATCCAAGGCGTGTGATGTATGCGGGACCTACGCTCATCGCTTTTTGTGTGACGGGTGGGGCCCAAGAATTTTTTCTTAATCCCTTTTTTAGGACTCAGAAAAAGGGACTCCGACGCAGTACTTCCATGTCAGGACAAACTCACAATAAAAATGCATGTAATTTTATTTGATGATATTGACAACTCATCATTTTGAAAATCATATGCGATTTTTTGACAGGTCTAGAATTAGATATATCACATGTACAGAAGCAACTGAAGATATTTTTAGGCGTTTAGACAATATCTCGTTGAAGTTGAAAAAAAGGAGTATCTAAAGTTGACGTGTACGTACCTATCAATTACGAGAACTTTGTATATTCAACGTACAAAAGTCACTGAGTTGGTTTATGTATCCAACTATAGTACTCATAAATATATTTTTTGGTATCCGGTACTTGTATTAGATTATGACAAAATTAGATTTGCGCGGGAAAGTTCAATATTAGGGGGTAAAACGCTCTTTAATAAAGACGGCTCCATATACAGAACTCAAATTCAAGACATCTGATGAAGGATGAAAGAGTGTTTACTACTCCACGGCCAAATATATCATTTTTATCAAGAAGTCCCTAGAAATTGCCAGACATGTATCAATATAATGTAGTTAAACAGTTAGCTGTTGAGAAATATGCGTAAATACAAAAGTTCTCCTAATTAAGTCATAGGGGGCTAGAAACATGATCACTGTTCAGGGAACATATATATTATTGTTGGCCTACACCTAAAAGAGGAAATTAAATCCACACTGGAATCTGGATCAGAAAGTATGTCCCTATTAAGTAAAAGTTATTAGCTAGGCATGCACACGGTCGAAGCTATACTCCGATAAGGGTGGTCAATTGATCATCCTCTATCGAAAAATTACACTGTATATAAATAAAATATTAGATTTTCGAGGTATATAAAATATATTGAATATCCTTTGTCACAGATTTTTTTTACTTCTTTTAAGTTTGAACATCCTTGAGAAATTTTTTTACTTCGTCACTACATTTAGCTATACAGAAACTCAATTCAACGGCTTATTATAACTAAGATGAGAAGAAAATATATAACTCTCATGTTTAATGTAGTTATATTCCTACTTAAAGGCATCCCCAAGCAATAGTAGTTTTGAGTATATTCATTAAAATTTTGAATTATTGGAGAGAGCGATGACAAAGAAAGAAGAGAAAACAAGCACTAAATCAGATAAAAATAATAATTGAAAAGATATGTAGTGTATAAATCAATTGGCCATAGCATGCATGCCTTTCGTATAACTAAGTGAAGGAAAGTGATAATCTAAATACATTAGATAGCGCATGAATCGTAAAATGAGAACTTACTTGTTTTTTGTAAAGCGAAAGCGAAATCTGAAATGATCCGCGGCTGGAATCATTGGTCGATGATGATTGTTACAGTAGAAATACTATTGAGCGTATATTTTATTGTACATTGCAAATGTACTTACATAGAAAATATTATGGTTAATTAATAATATCCTTAAAACACCCTTATTGGTGGACCCAAAATTTTGTAGACTAAGAAAAAGGGGCTTAGATATATAGCACTTCCATGTTAGGACAAATAACTTACATAATCAGGTGTATGTATTCCTATTTGTTGATATTGACAAATCAACATTTTGGGAAATCATCTACTCCTCATGTTTTGACTGGTCTAAAATAAGGAATATCAGAGAGAAGCAACTCAAGATCTTTGTTAAAATCATATGTT